GCCAATCAGGAGATGGGTCAAAAATTCCTATCTGGCCCCAATGGGCGACCAGCTAGTCTCGCAGTAGAAATTAGGGCAGACGGGTGGACTGCCGTCTGAATATGGCTGAAGGCAGACAATGGGGTGCATGCCCCTTAAAAACCTTCCATTGCCCATGCCCCTCGGCTGTTCTCGCGAACCACCTACAATGTCGCGTGGCTATCTGGGCAAATCCTCAAAGCCTCGCCCTGATTGCGAGGGTCCCTCTGGAACCCTTAATTGGTGGGGACACTGTTTAGGAAAGGTGTCAACAACGTGGAAGATCGCTAGAGTGAGGTGACCAAGGCAAAAGGTTTTCAAACCCAATCCGATGAAAAATCTTTGAAGGAGTTGGGTAGGTTTATCCTAGAAAAGAAAAGAATGAGAGGTCATATGGTAGCCACTTGTGTTAAGTGTATCCTGTCAATCTTATGTTAGCACTAATGCTATTGCTAAAAAGATTGAGGTCATTGCCTGAGGAGGCAGATGCTGAGAAGAAGAAGCAGGTTGCTGGAGGAGGCACAGCTGTGTAATATGTAGCCTGGCCTGCATTTCAAACTGCCTTTTGTACACAGAATGGGAGGTAGGATGAAACCCCTGGGCAGTAGTTCTAGGCGTAAATCTTGTGACTAGTATACCCAGAAGCTTGAAACAATTTAATGAGTGAACTAAATCAGCTAAAACAATTCTATTCAGTGGAAATGAGATAGTAGTATAACTTGTTTAATTATGTGGGAACTTTTAGTTCTGGGGTCTTCTTGTAAGTAGGAGGATAACCCTAGGTACAAATTGAGATATTCTTCAGTCAATCTGGGTCCAAAATGGCATCATCCACAGACAAGAAAGAGGTGATACTAGCCAGCCACTAAATCATGGGATTTTTTGATTTTTTAAAAAGACTATGAATACTGTAAGTCTCCATTTTGGGTTTTCCATTTGACAAACCCACACCTATGAAAACCTAAATGTAGCTCAGCTAGAGAAAAGACCTGATTATGAAGGTTTTGAAGCTTGAGGAGAGATAGGACACCACTTATTAAAGACCTGAAAGGTACAGTGGTGTCTCGCTTTACGATTGCCTCGCATTACGATTAACCCACTTTACAATGATCTTTTTGCGATTGCAATTGCGATCGCAAAACGATGGTCTAAATGGGGGAATTTCGCTTTGCAATGATAGGTTCCTTGCCTCGGGAAGCGATTCTTCGCAAAACGATGTTTTTCTAACAGCTGATCGGCGGTTACAAAATGGCCACCGGGTAATTAAAATGGCTCCCTGCTGTGTTTAGGGATGGATTCCTCGCTATACAGGCAATGATAATGGGCACCGTATGGAGGATCTTCGCTGGACGGTGAGTTTTTACCCCATTGGAACGCATTGAACGGGTTTCAATGTGTTTCAGTGGGGTTTTTATTTTGCTTTACGATGTTTTTGCTTATCGACGATTTTCTTGGAACGGATTATCGTTGTTAAGTGAGGCACTACTGTAGTCCTATGGAAAAGGGACAGGATCTCTTCTTGATCATCCCAAAGTGCAAGACATGCAACAATGGGCTCAAGTTAGAGGAAGGCAGGTTTTGCTTGAATATCAGGAAAAACTTCCCAACTGTTAGAGCAGTACAACAAGGTAACCAATTACTTCAAGAGGTGGTGAGCGCCCTGATGCTGGAAGCATTCAAGACAAAACTAAACAAACATCAACCAGATACACTTTGACTTGGATTTCCCCCATTGGGCAGGAGGTTGGACTCAAGAGCCTTACAACTCTGATTCTTTGATGTTGGATGAAGAATGTTGACTGATAGAGGCAGTGCATGACAATGGTAGGAAGAGGTGGGGGAATGGAATGTTGCATCTTCAACCATGAACAGCAGCTCTGCCCCTAAAAATGAGTGATAACTATTGTTGTTACCACTACTCAAGTTCTTCCTTTTCTCATACTACTCCCTCTTCTTCTTCAATGCTGTGATTTTTCGCTGGAGTTCGCTGAGGTGCTGATGGTATTCACATTTATGTGAAAGCAACTGATCCATTAATAACTTAATTGCCTGATTTATTAAAAGCCAACTAAAGGGTTGTTTATTTTGTTTAATCCATTGCCTGCTAGGTACCTTGTGCAGTGAGAAAGGTCATTCCTAAATGTAAACACACATAAACACACACAATCTGAGGACACGCAATGTCAAAAGCAGAACTGGAATGTTAGGAAAACATCTGTGTCAATAGTGCAGGACACAGTGGAGGCTGGATTTCATGCAACCAAGGTCAACAAGGCAACTGATGGGATTTAGACATTATTCAAGTTATATAAAGGACAGAGAGATTGATGGATTTCCCCTGCACTTATTGCGTCATCTTTTAAATTATTTCAAACTTGCTTACGAGGCAGCAGATAACACATTTTCCAAACGGTTAAGCATGGTTATTTATTGACAAGGGGTCTGTACACTTCAATTCCACAGTCATTTCAACCCTATAAATATGCAAGCATTCCCTAGCCTCATCCTGCAAACCACCAGTGGCCTGACGATCTTTGTGAATCTCTTCTCTTCATCAAAGTTCTGAGCCCACCATCATGAGGATCCTCTATTTCTTTTTCGCCGTCTTTGTCTTCCTTTTCCAGATTTCTCCAGGTAAGATGGAGTTTAAGTTGGGTTGGTGGGAACCTTCTCAGATTGGAGGAAACACGCTTAAAAGGTAAAAAAATAAATAAATAAAGGAAAGTCATCCGGACTATTGAAAGCAAATAAAAGAGAAGTGGATGTTCTAAGTGACAGCATAGGATCATAGAATCATTGGGTTGGAAGGGGTCAATCAAGCTGTCGGGTCCAGCATCCTGCTCAATGCAGGAATACAAGTCAAAGTAGACCTGACAGGTGGTTGAACAATGTTCCAGCATTGGAGCGCTCACCACTTCCTGAGAAAATTGGTTTCACTGTCATCCTGCTCTAACAGTCAAGAAGTTTTTCCTGATATTCAGCCAAAATCTGACTTCCTCTAGCTTTAGCCCATTCTTATAAATCCTGCACTCTGGGATGCTTGAGAACAGATCCTGCCCCTCCTCTGCATGACTACCTTTCAAGCATTTTAAAAGCATTCAGTCTTCTTTTCTCAAGGCTAAACATGCCCAGTTCTTCCAATTTTTCCTTATAGGGCTTGGTTTCCAGTCCCCTGATCGTCCTTGTTATCCTCCTCTGAACTTGCTCCAGTTTGTCAGCATCCTACTTACAGTGCGGTATCCAGAACTGGATGAAGTACTATAGATGAGGCCTAACTGGTGCTGAATAGAGGAGAACTAGTACCTTGTGAGATTTGGAGACCATACTTCTGTTAATGCATCCTAAAATAGCATTGGCCTTTTTTTTTT